AATTTTTAAACAGTTTTTTCCAAATTAAAAATGTAAACAAATAATAGAGGGGAAACCTTGGTCTATTAAAAGGAGGCCGCATATGTTCTAATAGGAAACCCAAAACTTAATCTATCTAAATATTTCAAAATGACTGTTTATGTTTCCCTGACTTGACTAACTCCTGGTTTTAGTACTACTTTTAATTTTTTACTTATTTTATTATTATTACTATTTTTAATAAGATGGTTGAGGTTTATTGATGTAATGATAGTGAATCAAATAGATTAATTATAACATTTATTTTAAAAATTATTATTTTTTTAAATTTAAATTTTAGGTATTTAACATACAGTGCAGTATTGGTTTCTGGAGTGGAATTCAGTGGTTTATCCCTTACGTACAACACCCAGTGCTCATCATAACAAGTGTACTACTTACTACTTTTTAACTCTGCAGCAGAGGCATGGTTCGGGCAAGTCAGATAGGCAAACTCATAGCCCTTCTGATAATAAAAGCAATAACAATAACTGACATGTATTGTTATTAATAGGTAGGATCTGCTTTGATGCTTTCTGTATATTAACTCATTTAATCTGCACAACAACCCCAGGAGGTAGGACTGTTATTCTCATTTCATAGATGAGGAAATTAAGGCACTGAGAAATTAAATGATATATGCAAGTTTGCACAACTTGCATGGAGCTGAGATTTGAACCTAGGTAGTCTGATTTTTTCCACTGAAATAAATGTGGGTGGAAGGCGGTTATCTTTGAGTTGGTAGATACTATCATTAAAAAATAATGTTCTGGGGTGCCTTGGTGGCTCAGCTGGTTAAGTGTCCGACTCTTGATTTTGGCTCAGGTCGTGATCTCAGGGTTGTGAGATCGAGCTCCACCTCGGGCTCTGCACTGGGCGTGGCGTCTGCTTAAGATTCTTTCTCTCCCTCTTCCTCTGCCCCTCCCCCCCCTTAAAAAATAAAAATGTTCTATCCCTTGAAAGATGGAAAATGGGTAAGGAAATATTTCATACATAAATGATGAATCAAGTTAGCCTTCATTCTAGTAAGAATAAGATATTAATTCAATATAAACATGTAAAAAGTTGTGACTTTTTTGTGACACTGTTTAATCCTTTCATCATGTTGATCACTTTGGTTATTCTTGGTGATGCCTTCATAAGTTTTAGGAAATTAAAAAAAAATCATCTCCTAAATCAGTCTGACTTATCTTGGCTAACTGATCTCTTCTGCTTTGAGATCCAGAATGCTCATTCATGTTGAGGTAGGGAAATGCTACCGGGAAAAAAGAATGGACATTTTAATTCTCTCTATATTTTCAGGTAAACCTAAACCATCCAGTGAGAAATTAGCACTCATTCTTTTTCTTTTTTTAAGATTATTTATTTATTTATTTGACAGAGGGAGACAGCGAGAGAGGGAACCCAAGCAGGAGGAGTGGGAGAGGGAGAAGCAGGCTTCCTGCCGAGCAGGGAGCCCGATGCGGGGTTCGATCCCAGAACCCTGCGATCATGACCTGAGCCGAAGGCAGACGCTCAACGACTGAGCCACCCAGGCGCCCCAGAGAAATTAGCACTCATTCTGATTTTAAGGATTTCCAAAGAGCTCAGTCTCCTTCAGTAACCCATTTTATCTGTAACTTTCATCAACAATAATTACATTTGAGTTCTTTAAGCATCTCAAATTCTACAAAAACAATATATGGCAATTCTCTGCCCTTCATATGTTGTAAAGATAGGTGCTAGAAAGCTAAGTAACTAAGGAGTATCCCCAAATTAAAATTCTAGATTTAAGGGGCGCCTGGGTGACTCAGTCATTAAGCATCTGCCTTCGGCTCAGGTCATGATCCCAGAGTCCTGGGATCGAGCCCTGCATCAGGCTCCCCGCTTGGCAGGAAGTCTGCTTCTCCCTCTCCCACTCCCTCTGCTTGTGTTCCCTTTCTCACGTTCTCTCTGTCAAATAAATAAAATAAAATCTTAAAAAAAAAGTCTAGATTTAAAGTAAACATAAACTTTTTTTTTTTTTTTTTAAAGTAGGCTCACTCAGGGCTTGATCTCACAACCCTGACATCAAGACCTGAGCTGAGGGATGCCTGGGTGGCTCAGTCGTTAAGCGTCTGCCTTCCACTCAGGTCATGGTCATCCCAGGGTCCTGGGATCGAGCCCCACATCGGGCTCCCTGCTCAGCAGGAAGCCTGCTTCTCCCTCTCCCACTCCCCCTGCTTGTGTTCCCTCTCTTGCTGTGTCTCTCTCTGTCAAATAAATAATTAAAATCTTAAAAAAAAAAAAAAAGACCTGAGCTGAGAGCAAGAGTCAGATGCTTAGCTGACTGTGCCACCCAGGCACCCCAGTAAATATAAACATTTAGAGAGAAGAAAAAAAAAAAGACAGCCTTTTTTTTTTAACTTAAAACAATGACAGAAGTAGTAAGAACAGGGGCATCTGGCTGGTTCAGCTGGTAAAGCATGCAACTCTTGATTTTGGGGTCATGAGTTTGAGCCCCACGCTGGGTGTAGAGCTTACTTTAAAAAACAAAAATAGGGGTGCCCGTGTGGCTCAGTTGGTTAAACATCCAACTCTTGATCTCAGCTCGGGTCTTGATCTCAGGGTCATGAGTTCAAGCCCTGGGCTGAGCTCCACGCTGGGCATGGAGCCTACTTAAAAAAACAAACAAACAGATTGTAAAAAACAAAAGTAGTGAGAAAAAGCACATACTTCCCCCCTGCCCACCCACCCATCATTCTGCTCTGATATTAAGAATAAGACAGGGGTAAATTCATTTGGAGTTGTAAATCAGCAACATCTCAGAAATTCTTTTTGACCTGTTAGGCCTCACAGCATAAAATAAAAGATTCTTTAGAGAACTTGCTGAACACTGACCCATTTTTTTGGGGGGACCCAGAATGAATGGAAAATGGCAACACTAAAGATTTAAGGGAAAAATAACCCTATTGATAGGGGTATAGTTAACAAAACTATTGTATAATCTATACTATGGAATACTATGTAATCATTAAAATGATAGAAGTAAACTTATACACAGACATGGAAAACTGTCCACCATATATTAAGTGGGAAAAAAAGTTCCAGATTAATATATGTGATGTAATTTAGTTAGTATTAAATATATATTATAAAAATACCATCTAATATGTATATATTATAGATGTATGTTATAAATAATATGTTTTTATATGCCTAAAGGGATATAAACCACACTGATAATAATATAGTAAGGTACTTTGTTGTTATTGTTATTTTTGATTCCAGTATAATTAACATACAGTATTATATTGGTTTCAGGGGTATAGTAAGGCACTTTGACTAGTGGGATGGGATGGGGGGGGGGAGAGACAGGCAACTTTTATCTTTTAGTTTATGCATTTTTGTACTGTTTGATTTTGATAGATAATTTTACTTTATAATGAGCAAATGTCATGTTTAAAACTTTTTAAAAACTATATAAGGAAAAACAATGCCCTGTGGTATTATTTACATAAACAAATCATGTACTATAGCAGGAATTAAGGAATAGATATATGATACTGACTAAAAGCAGGAGAAATGGATTTTCAGTAAACAAAAATTCTAACTACTCCCACTTTTCTTCCTCTTTTAGGAAGCTACTCTTTTGCAAGATCCCCTATATGTTAGTGAGCTCAGTCCTGCTATTGGAAGTCAAAAGCCATATAGGTAAGGAGTGATGATATGCCAGAGCCGCATGGGGGACGGTTCTCTCCTCTTTGCCTCTCCTAACTCCACGTGTTGCTGCCCATCACATCTATACCTCTACTTCAACTCTCTGCCTTGAATTTTAGGTCTGCAAACATAATTACCCACTGGACATCACCTCTTATAGGTCTTACAAGAACCTTAAAGTCAGATATTCAAAACAGAACTCAGCATCTTCCTTCTGGGACCTGAACTTCCTCTTGTGTTTCCTAACACAGGGCCTGCTGTCCTTATTGCCACAACACCTAAGGCAGAGTCCCGAATGTCGTCTTTACCTTCTCTCTCCCCTTTACCACCTCCCACCCCCGCAGCTGTCAATCACCACAGGATTCATTGTTCTTCTCTAGGATATCTGGATAATATCTACTTCTTTCCACCGTCACATGCTCAGCCCAATTCCCTTTGTTCTGAGCCTCTACAGTATTTTCCTACCTGGCCTCTGCCTTCACTCTTGACCCTCTCTAAACCACTCTCCGTAACCAAAGAAATCTTTTGGAAGCACAAATCTGATCACGTAACTCCCTGCCTTAAAACCTCCGAATGGCTCCCCACTGTCCTTAGGAGAAGGTCTAAATTCTACAATAGCTTATAAAGATCTTCCTGATGTCTCTTTTCCTTTTTCCATCTTCAACTCTTGTGTCCCCTCAACTCCTGCCCTAAGCTGCTGATCCAAATAATCTTGCAGTTCTCAGAAAGCTCCCTGTTTGTTTTTTTTGTTTGCTTATTCCTCTATTCTGGAACCCTACTCTCTACTCTTCTTCTTCATGAATGACTTCAACTCATCAAGTCTTAGCTTACTATCCCTTTCTCTAAAAATCATTTCTCAAAGCTTCAATAAGAGGGGCCCCTGAGGGGCACCTGGGTGGCTCAGTCGGTTAAGCATCTGCCTCAGGATGGTCTCAGGGTCCTGGGATCGAGCCCCACATCAGGCTCCCTGCTCAGGGGGGAGCCCGCTTCTCCCTCTCCTTCTGCCTGCCGCTCCCCCTGCTTGTGCTCTGTCTCTAATAAATAAGTAAAATCTTTAAAAATTTTTTTTAAAACAGAGGGGCCCTCCATAACATCGTGTGCTTACCATCTTGTAGCATTTAACAGTCTCTCTTATGATTGCTTGTTTGATTACGTGCTGCCCTATTATACACTATGCTCCTTAAGGGCCAGGACTGTACCTTGGTCACTGGCCCATAGTAGGCTGCCTTTATAGAATGAATAAGTTGTTAAAACAATTAAACCTGAATCTGACTTAAAAGTGTGGGCATGTTAGCCTTGAAAAGGAATGAAGTCTTGACACGAGTGACAACATGGATGAACCTTGAAGAAATTACACTAAGTGAAATAAGCCAGACAGAAAAGGACAAATATTGTATGATTCCACTTATTTGAGGCACTGAGAATAAGCAAACTCATAGAAACAGAAAATAAAATAGAGGTTACCAGGGGCTGAGGGGAGAGGGGTATGGGGACCTACAGTTAATCAGTATAGAGTTTCTGTTCCGGAAGATGAAAAATTTCTGGAAATGGATAGTAGTGATGGCTGCACAACATTCTGAATGCACTTAATACCACTGAATTATATACCTAAAAATGGTTACAACAGTAAATTTTATATTATGTGTATTTTATTTCAATTTTAAAACAGGTAGGGGTGTGTATGTGTGTGTGTAAGTAAGGGAATAGATAAAACAAGATTGGAAAAATGTTAAAGATTATTGGATCTAGGTGATAGATATATGCTGTTTCTTTTCAGTTTTCTCCATTTTTGTGTATGTTTAAAAATTTCCATAATAAGGGGCGCCCGGGTGGCTCAGTCGTTAAGTGTCTGCCTTCAGCTCGGGTCATGGTCCCAGGGTCCTGGGATCGAGCCCCGCATCGAGCCCCGCATCGAGCCCCGCATCGAGCCCCGCATCGAGCCCGCATCGGGCCCGCATCGGGCTCCCTGCTCCGTGGGCAGCCTGCTCCTCCCTCTCCCACTCCCCCTGCTTGTGTTCCCTCTCTCGCTGTGTCTCTCTCTGTCAAATAAATAAATAAAATCTTTTAAAAAAATTTCCATAATAAAAGTTTTTAAAAGGCTTAAGAAACATAATAAGCAAATATAACAAGTATCTTATTTATATCTTGATTTTAACAAACCAAAAGTAAAAAGACATTTTTAAGACAATAGAGGACATTTGAATATGGACTGGGTATTAGCCAATACCAAAGAATTATTGATAATTTTGTTGGATGTGATAATGACTATTTTGTAAGAAAATGTTTGTTTTATTTTGAGATATGTTCTGAGGTATGTAGGGGTTAAATAACAATGTTTGTGATTTCCTTTTTTAAGAGATGGTAATACAGATAGTTTAGAATTTCTACATGTTTTAAAAATAGAATTTCCATATATTTTCATATGTTTACAGAAGTATCAGTTTTAATTTTAGTCCTTATTTAAAGTGATTTTAAAACAAACTGGATAATAAAATAGGCTTTAACTTTGAAATTTGACTTGAAATTTGTCCTTGAAAGTCAGGAGAGTTCTACCACTGTCTTGACTCAGGAAAAGCATATTTCTTGCAAAGTTAATTCCTGAAGACAACATATTTAAAATGCAGTAATTTAAAATGCACTGTGAGGAATGTGGTAATATGTATAAGATATACAAGACAGTTCTCTGCCTGCAAGCTACCGTCAGTTTAAAGGGAGTAAATATTCTTTGGGTTTTCAAATTAGAACTCTGTCACAAATGTGAGCTCTGTAACCTCACATGGATGCATAGGGACCACTGTGAAAATATAACAGTGCTTTTGAGATAATCTGTGATAAGCCTTTTCTAGCTATAAAGCATTATACAAGTGTATTATTTATATAAAATATCCAGAAAATGAAAAAATACAGGAAATCCAGAAAAATGAAAAATACAGGAAAAGCAGAGCTTATCATTAGATCAAGAATCCTTCTTGCCACACCATTTGGGTGAATTTATGTTTTCTAGCTGATGAAAATATAAAATATCTGTTAAAATTAATGAAAAATTTCCCTTATTCTGAAATTGAATAATGGAGTCTTCTGGCAGTAGACTTTCTATTATTTAAATTAGTCAAAGTTTATCATCTATGTAAAGACAAATGTTCTCTGAATGGTCAAAGAAACTGCGACTATATAGAAATATAGACTCCTGAATCTAACTTATATTTATGATGTATATGAGACCTCAATTCATATATGAATTGATTTTTAGTATAAGGAGATTAGTGTGCTTTTTCTTATGAAATTTGGTTATCTGTTTATTTATTTATTAAAAGATTTTATTTTTTATTTTATTTTTTTTAAATGTTTCTTTTTTTTTAAGATTTTATTTATTTATTTGATAGAGGGAGACAGTGAGAGCAGGAACACAAGCAGGGGGAGTGGGAGAGGGAGAAGCAGGCTTCCCACTGAGCAGGGAGCCCGATGTGGGACTCGATCCCAGGACCCTGGGATCATGACCTGAGCCGAAGGCAGACACTTAACGACTGAGCCACCCAGGCGCCCAAAAGATTTTATTTATTTACTTGAGAGAAAGACAGAGAGCAAGAAGAGAGGCAGAGGGACAAGCAAGACTCTCCGCTGAGCACAGAGCCCACCACAAGGCTCCATTCCTGGACCCTGAGACTTGACCAAACCGAAGTCAGATGCTTAACCGACTGAGCCACCAGGCACCCCTGTTTTGGTTTTTTTGAAAGAAAAGTTTGGTATTACGGTCTGTTATCATAGGTGCCACAAGATAAAAACTGTTTCTATATGGATTGCAGCAAATTGCTGACTAATGGGAAAAATAGGAAAGTCAATCTGAAAGTAATTCTGCTGGTATTCTTTCTAAGCTTGTGCTTTTCTAAGCTCATCAGTTTGTGAAAACTACATTCCTGCTATTTTTGCAGTTCTCAGAGAATAGAGGAATTTTATAGTTATTTTTTAAATGAAATGTGATTGTAATTAGAAGTGGATGTATAGGGAAGGGGGATCTCAAAGCTCATTCCTATTTTATACCATTTATTAAATACTTACTGTGTGCTAAGCACAGACTAAAAGTATCAAAACAATGGGAAAGGTACTATAATCCTCCCCATTTTACAGATGAGGAAATTGAGGCACAGAGAGACTAGGTAACCTGCCCATGGTAATTACTCAGCTGAGTAGAGGCAGCTCTACAACTCTGATCAGCCTGTCTGGCCCCCGTGTTTATAATCGTGTTCTTCTGCCTCTGTGACGTTTTTTTTTTTAAAGATTTTGTTTATTTATTTGAGAAAGAGAGTGAGAAAGAGCACACACGAGTTGGGGGAGGAGCAGAGAGAGGGAGAAGCAGGCTCCCGCTTGAGCAGGGAGCCCGACGTGGGGGCCGATCCCAGGACTAACTGAGCCACCCAGGCATCGCTATCACTGAATTCTTTTTTTTTTTAAGATTTTATTTATTTATTTGAGAGAGAATGAGAGACAGAGAGAGAACACATGAGAGGGCGGAAGGTCAGAGGGAGAAGCAGACTCCCTGCCAAGCAGGGAGCCTGATGCGGGACTCGATCCTGGGACTCCAGGATCATGACCTGAGCCGAAGGCAGTCGCTCAACCGACTGAGCCACCCAGGCGCCCCTTATCACTGAATTCTTGATGATCATTTCTCTTTCAGGGTCTCCACTAGAAAAGAGACTGTTTTTTGGGGAAATCTTAATGTTTTCATTAATAAGGGCGGCTCATTGGGATGCCTGGGTTGCTGAGTCGGTTAAGCGTTTGCCTTCGGCTCAGGTCATGACCCCACGGTCCTGGGATCAAGTCCCATGTCAGGCTCCTTGCTCAGCAGGGAGGCTGCTTCTCTCTCTGCCTGCCGCTCCCCCTGCTTGTGCTCTCTCTTTCTCTGACAAATAAATAAAAAAAATCTAAAAAAAAAAAAAAAAGACCTCATTGACTGGATAGAGAAAAATTTTAATTTTTTTTTTTTTTCACGTTAGATTTTTTTTTAAAAACGGAGGAGGTAGTGGGCGAGAGCCAAGATTCCATGTAGTAGTATTGGGATAAATGGTTGGTATCAAGATTTATGGAGTAGGTGGTAAAAATATATATAATTTTTTTGACAGAGAGAGAGACAGCGAGAGAGGGAACACAAGCAGGGGGAGTGGGAGAGGGAGAAGCAGACTTCCCGCTGAGCAGGGAGCCTGATGTGGGGCTCGATCCCAGGACCCTGGGATCATGACCTGAGCTGAAGGCAGAAGCTCAACGACTGAGCCACCCATGCCCCCCCCTTTTTTTTGGTAAAAATATTTTTAATTCAAGTCAGAAATTCTAGGAAGTTTCCATCAACCTACACAGAACAATAAATGCCTCTCCTACCATTACTTTGCACCCTTCTTTTCTTTCTTTTTCCTTTTTTTTTTTTAAAGTAAGCTCCAGTAAGCTCCCAACGTGGGGCTTGAACTCATGACCCTGAGATCAACAGTCATACACTCTACTGACTGAGCCAGCCAGTATGAACTTGGACAGGTCACTTAACCTCTCTATCATCCTATAAATGCAACAGTAATTCCCTGTTCTGCCCCCTTAGTGGGACTAAATGAGCTAGTTCATGAAAAGTGCCCAGGACAGGTACACAAATCATGACAAGAGGGCAAAATAGGATTAGTGTCATATATAAGAAGTGTGGAAAAAGTGCCATGGGAGAGGTTCCCCATTCATGGTGGAATTAGGGAAAGCTTTAAGGGGAAGGTGTTCCTCTTTTCAGCAAAGCCAGCTCTTCCTGAACTGTGGAACACACACGGGTCAGTGACATGAGATGAATGTATCTGGTACTCTGATATGGCAGGAAATAACTTTGAATTCCATAGTGGGAAAGTAATTCCTTTTCCAACTAGTCCAATCTCATTACGGAGAACCTCTCAGCTTGGTGCCAAAAATGGCAGCTCTCTAACACGTGCTCATCTGCCTTTCTGTCAGAGAGAGAGGCCTTAGGCTTGGAATGTGGGGCATCAACTTAGAACTTGTGATGCTTTCATGCTATTTTTACAGTTACCTGCTATTTATAGCACATGATACTGGTTCTCCCTGTAAAGTAGTGATACAAAGTTTTCTTTATAAATAAACTTCTCGGGGCACCTAGGTGGCTCAGTCGGTTAGGCATCCAACTCTTGGTTTCAGCTCTGGTCATGATCTCAAGATCATGAGATCAAGCCCCTGGTCAGGCTCTGTGCTCAGCGCAGAGTCTGCTTGAGATTATCTCTCTCTCTCTGCCCCTCCCTCTGCTCCCATGTGTGCGTGCACGTGCTTGTTCCCTCTCTCAAATAAAATCTTACATAAACTTCTCTACACACACACACACACACACACACACACAAAGTGAGTTGATTTAAAGAAAAAATATGAAGCAAATAATATTATGTATGGTTCATTCAGTATGGTAAATGGTATGTGAACAAACCGTGGGCTAGGGAATGAAAGAGGGACAAAAGTTTCCAAGGGACACTGAGAGTATTCCTGATGTGCTGGATACCGCTTGAGTAAAGGGGCATGGGGAAAAGTATGTCTGGAGAGTAATGAATAGTTCAATCTGGGGAAAGCAAGGTTCATTACTAATGAGTAATAAAGCTAGAAGCACAAAACTATATTAAAATTCCATTAGTAACAAAGTTTTACAAACCTGTCAATAATCGATATTCCTCAACTGCTGTTTATCATTTTTCACATGGAAATTTTTTTCTTGTGTTTCTGTCGATCTGAGGAGAAAATTAAGCACTTCAGTCAACTTAAATCTGAACTTTTTCTTAAAGACAATACTTTGAGGAAGATATTTTGCTTCATTACGGAACTTAAAGTAGCAGCCCAGAAAAACTTCATTCTGAAACAGCTTTTCTGGAAAGTCGGTGTTTTGTTTTATTTTTAATCTTTGAAACTTGTCCCACCTGTTTATCAAGTGCAGTATAATCAAGCATAAAGTAAAATACAAATAAATGTCTTGTATTCAGAGCTGTGTTTTATTTTATTTTAGAAGTAGAGAGAGAAAGAGCATGTGGGGGGGAGGGAGGAGCGCAGAGGGGGAGAGGGGGAGAGAGAGAGAGAGAGAGAGAGAGAGAGAGAGAATCCTCCAGCAGACTCCCCACTGAGCGTAGAGCCCCAAGTCGAAATCAAGAGTCAGACTCTCAACTGACTGAGCCACCCAGGTACCCTGATGGAGGCTGTATTTTAAAATGTGGACTAAATTTAATGCAATCATGACTCAGTACTTGGAATGTAATGTAGTCAATAATGTGTACGTGTGTTGCAGGGGAGCTGGGAAAAGAGGGCAATGGTAGCAAAAAGACAGCACCTTACACGGGTTGGGTTGGTGGGTCAAAGGTAATTAGAGGGGAAGCTTCTGGCATGCAAGATGCAGGAGTAAAGACAGTGAGATGGAAAAACAGATTTCAAGAAAGTTTTACCTTAAAACTTACAATAAGTATACAATAAAAATATAATGGAAAAAGATTACTTTTGAGTGTAGGACTATTATTTTTTTAAAAAAGGTGATTCTTAGGGAGTCAAAGCAACCTAGCGCTCACTCGGCAAGTTACAGACTTACTCTACAAGACTTACTTAGTTTCATTTTCAGGTTCAGGTGAAGGGATTCAGAAGCCCCAGTGAGTACTGGTGTGGTGCTAATGAGGCCCAAGTGAGGGGGTGAGCCCTGCCTTGGGTGGAGCTCATGTTGACCGCTATATGTTGTATCCTAATTCTGGCCAGTGGTCTCATAGTTGGCAACCTTTTATTAAGCAGCTGTAAAGTGCACAGCTTTCCCAAACATACAAGACAATCCTGGCCATTTCTTAGATTCTAAGTGCTTCACGTGTAGGATGATCAACCATGTGGGTTTGCCCAGACTTGGGTGACCAACGGTCCCAGTTTGCCTAGGACTAAGGAAGTTCGCAGGATATGGGACTTTCAGTACAAAACCTAGGACCATCCCAAGCACACTGGGATGGTTGATCACCCTAATTAGAGGGCATCTTAGCTATATAGGATAGTATGTCAAACGTCCCATAACACTGAAACAGTAACAATGATGTTGTGCTACAGTCTAAACGCTTATACTGGCTACACCCTGTTAGGAATAGAACATTCAGGTTTTGACTCCAAAACTTCAGAGGATTGTGGAGAATATAGGGCCAGGCATCAAAATGACACCCAAGATGATTATGAACATGGAAATGGAGTTCATGTGGAAAGGCTAAGGAAATTGGTATATCCCACCGAAATATTCCTCTCCAGTCCATCCCACAGATGGCATCAGTTTAATCTATCACTGTGTTGACCCCGCTGGCTCGAAAACCTCTGGTGGCCCTCCCTACTAAGTACAAACACTTTGGCTTTGGCATTTAAGGCTCTCCACTAATGACCACTGTCACAGACTGCAAGTTTGGACAGGCATGGCCTTTATTTTAGCAAGGTGGGTTTTCAGGAAGGGGCCAACATCTACCTACATAGGGCAGGCACTGGGCGAACTAACCCAGCCGTAGATGCTCCCAGGGAAGGCCCAGTGCTCAAGGGTGAGAGTGATCTCTACACAGTGTGCAAAACGAAACATCAGGGTATTCCAGCATGTGGGTGGATTACACCCAAATGTCTGCACAAACATTTGGCACCAGGAAGATCTGATTGTTTAGGTTTGGCAACAGGGCCTAATGGAATGTTGGGTTGGGGAGGTGACAAGGATAGAAAGGTTGTCAAGAGTAAACCTAGCAGCTGAGAGAGGACTGGCAAGGGACATAGCACAGGGCCCAGAGAAGTCCACTTAGATAAACTGGACACTATCACGAGACTGGATTTAAAGCAGATGGCTAGGTAGGAGAACTGAGGCACCTCCTACAGGTTAGACTAGGAAGAAAGGTGTTGATGCTGAATACCAGAGTGTTGGTCTGCAGGCCATTTAAGTGTCTCTCATCTTAAAATGGGCCTGATGCAAGTGGCTTTGGCTGTGGAGCAAAAGAAAGATGTAGAGAAAGAGAACGAAGCTAGGCGTAACCAACTCAACCCCACACTTCATTGTTTTCACCTTTTTCCTCTAAAAGCTCCAGCCACGTGGGATGACTCAAACACCCTGTCCTTTCCAGCCCTTCCTCATTTCCCCCTACTGTTCACCATCTCTATGCTACTCCTTCTTCCATTTCCTCCTGTTAAAATCCTACCCACTCATTCTTCAAGGCTCAGCTCAAATGCTGTTCTTCCGCCTTTCCTGTCATCCTCCATGGGGCACTTTGGAAACTTCCCCTTTCTCATCTGTTATGGCAGAACTTTCTTCAGTGTTCTTTAATCTGTGCTGTTCAATAAAGTAGCCACTAGCCACACTGAATGTGGCCAGTGACTAAGGAAGTGAAATTTTAATTTTATTCCGTTTAATCAGTTTAAATTTAAATAGCACCACGTGGCCAGTGGCTACCTATTGAACAATGCAGTTCTATGGCATCTCTCATAGCACCTTCTCTGTAACAATTCAACAAATATTTACTGCAGGCCTGTTCTGTGCCAGGCATGGGAACAGGCATTAGAAAAGCGAGCATGAGTAAGATACAGTTCCTACCCTCAAGATTAGCACAGATATTCTCCTTTTCACTATAGTCATTGGCATATTATTCTTATTTACCATTATATGCTATAAGCTTCTTCAGGACAAGCACGTGTCTTACTCATCTTTGTATTCTCCCTGAGGCCTAACGCAATGCCATGTTTATACTAGGCCCCATAATCAATTCATATTGAACTGAAAGTTTATTCCCTTGTAAAAAATTAACCTGATCAGAAATCCAGGAATAGGAAACAAACTGAGGGTTGCTGGAGGGGAGGGGTTGGGGGGATGGGGTCACTGGGTGATGGACATTAAGGAGGGCACGTGATGTAATGAGCACTGGGTGTTATAGAAGACTGATGAATCACTGACCTCTACCTCTGAAACCAATAATACATTATATGTTAATTAATTGAATTAAAAAGTATTTAAGAAAGATGTCTTTTATAATTTATCCAAGTAAAAAAGTTAAAAAAAAAAGAAGTCTAGGAATAGAACATTCATGTTCTGTTGCTTAATTGAAAACATTGCAGCTGTCCTTTAATGTAATGTCCTTAGATGGACTAAAATAGATCTTCTAATTCAGCTGTCAAAAATGAGAGGCCAAGGGGCGCCTGGCTGGCTTAGTTCGTAGAGCATGTGACTCTTGATCTCAAGGAGTAAAAAAAAAAAAGAGAGACCAAAATGAATAGAGAGGGAAATAAAAGGCATATGGGCAGTCTCCTATTTGCGGTCTTTCCACACACGGTGTGGGTCCTCTGCCCACCACCATGCCACCAAGGCCTAGTAGCCTTATGTTCTCTTTCTTTAATCCATAACCACAATCTAGTCTCATATTCATTTATACAGTTAACATATATAATAACAAAAGTCAACATTTTTATCTTCTTTTAAGAGCTTTTTTCTTTTCTTTATCTTTTTATTAAGTGGGCTCCACACCCAGCGTGGAGCCCAACATGGGGCTTGAACTCACAACCCTGAATCAAGACCTAAGCTGAGATCAAGAGTCAGACACTTAACTGACTGAGCCACCCAGGGACCCCCTAGGAGCTTTTTTCTTTAAACAGTTATCATGGCTTTATGCTTAAGCAGTGGCTTTCCAACTTTGTGCTGGGCTCCCTGGAGAACATGAGGCTGTGTGTGAAGCTTCCTTAGGAACCCTTCACTGGGGTGGCGAGATTAGAGGCATCTTTGATTTTTGGTTCTTGGGTAAGATGATGGAAAATTATACATATAATAATTTCATATAAATAAAATCTTACAAATATATATAATTGTATATAAATATATTAGGTATTAGAAATTATAAATGCACACACACACAATTTCCCCTTTTGAAATCATCTGTATGGGGTATAATTTTCTTTTAGGTAATCTTTTTTTTTTTTTACAATTTTCTTACAAATTATGAGAACCTTTTTTGTAGGTTGACTAAACTATAGGCTTTAGGACAGATACCATGTCTGTTTGTCTGCTTTGCTCAAGGTAGTATCTAATTACCTAGCATAGTACCTGCTACATAGCTGGCAATCAGTAGTTATGTGTTCAATGAATGAATGAGTGAAGGAAAGAGTTCTCCATTCATGTTCCTTCCTAACCCTTTATGTCTTCTCCATGAGGTTCTTTTTTAATTCAACAATTGTTTTTATTGTGGTAAAATACACATAACATAAAATTTACAATTTTAGCTATTTTTAAGTGTATGATCCAGTGGTATTAAGTAGGTACATTGTATTGTGCAACCATCTCCAGAACTCTTTTCATCTTGCAAAACTGAAACTATACTCGTTAAACATTAACTCCCCATTCACCCCTTCCTCCAGCCCCTGGCAACACCATTCTTTCTCCTCCTATGAGTTTAATTTCTCTAAATATCTCATGTAAGTGGAATCACTCAGCATTTGTCCTTTTATCCCTGGCTTATTTCACCTAGCATGTCTTCAAGGTTCATCAGTGTTGTTGCACATGTCAAAATTTGCTTCCTTCTTAAGGCTAATATTCCATTGTATGTAAAGACCACATTTGCTTATCCATTCTCCACTGATGGCTGCTTGGGTTGCTTCCACATTTAAGCTATTGTGAACATCAGCACTGTGAATATGGGTGTGTAAATATCTCTGAGACATTGCTTTCAATTCTTTTGGGAGTGTACCCAGAAGTGGGACTGCTGAATCCTATGGTAATTCTATTTCTTATTCTTGAGGAACCATCACACTGTTTTCCACTGTTTTCCGCTGCTGCACCATCGTACATTCCCACCAACACTGCACGTGGGTTCTCGTTTTCCCACATCTTTGTCAACAGTTGTTGTTTTCTGATTTTTTGTAGTTTTGATTTGCATTTCCGTAATGATTAGTGATGTTGAGTATTTTTTCATGTGCTTTTTGGCCATATGTCTATCTTCTTTGGAGAAATTATTGGGATATTTTAAGGGTTTTTGGTTTAAAGAGTTTTGACAAACGTATATACCCGTATAACCACCACCCCAATCAAGATTTAGAACACTTCTATCACCCCAAAAGGCTCATACCCTTTGGCAGGCAGTTTCCTCCCATCTGTGGCCCTGGGCAGTCACTGTGCTTTCTGTCACTATAGATTAATTTTACCCATCCTAGGATTCCACTTACCCGGAAATGGACTATGTACTCTTTTGTGCTGGCTTCCTTTGGCGTAATAGTTTTGAGATTTCTCCATGTTGTTGCAAGGTGGTGGAAGATACTTTAAGAATAAAAGTTCCTGAACTAGCGAGCAGGTTGGAGATCCCAGTAATAACTGGTAAATTTATTCAGCACTTATGATGTGCTGAGCACCGTTCAGGCTTTACAGATACTATCTTATTGCAACCTCATCAGGTGACATTAACTCCGTTTTAGACATGAACTGAGTCACAGAGTGTCTAAGTGACTTGCCAGATGTCATACAGCTAACCAGTGGCAGAGCTGGGATGTGAACTCAGAGTTAGTGTATAAAGCCGCCACACTGTGCTCATTCCCCAGGGCCCTGGTAAACGGCAGCTCTTCTCAGAGGGCCTGGCATACAGCCTGCTCCTTCTCCTGTCCCTCTCTCCACCTGCCAGGCTCAGTCTCTTCTCATGCCCTACCACCTAAATAAAGGTACACATAATACCTGTCTAAACAAAGAGTCTAATTTGTCACTAGTAAAAAAAAGTCCTCGGGGCGGGGGGGGGGGGGGGGGAATGAATAAGAGAGGAAAAGAAAAGAGAAGCAATTACATGATATTTCTCATTAGTACCAACTTGCCTGATTTCATGGGCCAGTGCTTATTTCATGCTCGATTTACCTCATGAGACTGCACAGAAGCACAAAAAAACTGGTCCGCACACTCTTAAGCCAGTGTTTATATTATCTTGGAGATGGGGATCGACATTTCCATTGTATTAACAGAATTATTAGTATCATTCTTCACTGTCTTCATTAGGCTATACCAGTGCTGGGCCTTTCTTGTAGGTTAGCAAACATTTTTAAAAAGTATTTTTCTAGCCATTATTCATTGTACCCTCACAAAGGCCAAATTACTTTGGAAAGGCAGGAATTAGAGTAGCCTCCATTTAATATAGTATTCCCAGGTTACTGAATGATTTGCCTGAGATTATACACCTACTTCTGGAGGGTCTTCAATATTAATGGTAGAGCCGGGCCTACTGGGCATCCTCAGCTTCACCCCCTAGGCTTTAGCTCTGGCTCTGTTCACCAGGACAGTGGTCTCCTGGTTGTAAGTAAAAAGTGTTTTCAATTTGGGTTATGCTATTATTAATGAGAGATATTATAACTCATTTTGTCCCCAGAGAATAAATGATTTCTTCATATTTTTATTATGTAAAGATAGAGTTTTACCAACTGATACCTAATGACCATCTTTCCTGCTTGCTTTCACAGACCAGTGACCTTTTTTATTTTCCTGGTGAACAAACTTCATGAGTACTTGCCAGAGTCTAGGGATAAGAGCATACTTCAAAATAAAAGCCAAAGGGCTGATGAGCTGGTGTAAGTACTAACTGGATAGTCATAGATTTTTCCTCCCTTAGGGTATTAAAGATAAATGGAAGGCACTGGACAAAATATATACTGTGTTAATGATTAATGGTGCTGCAAGTTTTGTTTCACATAGATTTTTAAAAATAGCATTCATTTTGTTCTACTCTTTTGGGGGAGAGAAGCAGAGGAAGAGAGAGAGAGAAAATCTTTTATTTTTTTTATTTTTTATTTTTATTTTTTAAAGATTTTATTTATTTATTTGACAGAGAGAGACACAGCGAGAGAGGGAACACAAGCAGGGGGAGTGGGAGAGGGAGAAGCAGCCTTCCCGCGGAGCAGGGAGCCCAATGCGGGGCTCGATCCCAGGACCCTGGGATCATGACCTGAGCCGAAGGCAGACGCTTAATGACTGAGCCACCCAGGGGCCTCAGGAGAGAGAAAATCTTAAGCAAGTTCCACACCCAGCTCAGAGTCTGACACAGGGCTAGATTTCACAACCCTGAGATCATGACCTGCCCCTGGAGTCGCAGGTTTAATTGACTGAGCCACCCAGGCGCCCCTGTTCTACTTTTTAAAGAAGGGCTATAGGGGCACCTGGGTGGCTCAGTCGGTTAAGTGTCTGCCTTTGGCTCAGGTCATGATCTCGGAGCCCTGGAATCCAGGCTGGCTTTGGGCTCCCTGCTCAGTGGGGAGTCTGCTTCTCCCTCTCCCTCTGCCCGTCACCCCTCCCCCTCCAATTGTGTGCTCTCTCTCTCCCTTAAATAAAATCTTTTAAAAAAATAAAGAAAGGCTATATAAGAAACTAGTAATATTGGTTGTCCCAAAGGAAAAAAAAATGGGCATCTGGGGGAAAGACACCTTTCACTGTATTCCTTTTTTTTACCTTTGGAATTTTGAGCCAAGTATTACCACCTTGAAAAAGTTAAAATTATTAAAAATAATTTTATTTTATTTATTTATTTTTACAGTGAGAGAGTGCGTGCACACACAAGCAGGTGAAGTGGCAGAGGGAGAGGGAGAAGCAAACTCCCCACTGAGCAGGGAGCCCCACGCGGGGCTCGATTCCAGCACCCTAGGATCATGACCCGAGGTGAAGGCAGACACTTAACCAACTGAGCCACACAGGCGCCCCTAAAAATAATTTTAAAATAGTGTGTGATTATCAGAAAAAAATGTTAAGGACAAAAAACACTATGAAAATGACTTTTAATCCTGACATTCAGCTATTAATTAATTCATTCAACAAATATTGTTGAGTGTTTAGTACGCAGCAATCACAGAGTAGGGACTCAGACAATTAACATATAGAATTTCCTTTCCATACGTTTTTCTGTATAGATATGAGAGCAATTCTATCAAGGATTACTAATTTTGTGAAATTCTGAACTTGTAATGCAATCATGCCACTTCTGTGCTTTTTTCTTTGTTTTCTAGAGCATGCATTGAAATTATACAGATTCTGGGACTGATGTTCACAGAAACAGAAACTGAGTCATCGTGCCTGAACACATTGGCAGCTAAGAAGTAAGGTCTTTTAGAAGACACTGGCACCTTGTAGTTACAACCCATTAACTACTCCATTGAGTGTCTTCCAAAACTCATAGCTCTCTTACTTCTCTGTTCAATCCCCTTATAAGTATGTTAAAATTCTTGTCTCTCCACTTCCTTCTGTGATAAAACAGATTAATTGGCACATAGTGAGTTCTCTGTCTCTATGGATTATTAAGGGCACAAACATTTTCTTAGCATAATTTTAGCTTTTGTCATTGTCTCGTGAACTTGAAAAAGCCCAAATGCCCCATCATACTTTAAAAGCCAGGCGTTCTCTGGGGCGCCTGGGTGGCTCAGATGGTTAAGCATCTGCCTTCGGCTCAGGTCATGATCCCAGGGTCCTGGAACCAAGCCCCACTCTGGCTCCTGGCTCAGCGGGGAGCCTGCTTCTCCCTTTCCCTCTGCCTCTCCCCCTGCTCATGCTCTCTCTCTCTGTGTCTCGAATGAATAAATAAAATCTTTAAAAAAATAAAAATAAAAAAATAAAAGCCAGGGGTTCTCTACTAGAATTTTACAGAGTACCCTTATACCCACATAACAGAAAGATTATATTGCAAAGGGAGGAGTTAATAGTAGCTTCATTTAATATATAATTGTGTGACCTTGAAGTGAATGACGGTGGGGGGTTTATTAACATATAGAGTAAGCTGCTATAATAAAGATACGCTAAAATATGTGGCCCACAGAAGATAGAAATTTATATCTTTTTCACATACTAGTCCAGAGTAGATAGACAGGCTTTCTTCGAGAAGATCAGCCAGAGACCTAGGTTCCTTCCCTTTAATTGCTCTCACATCTTTTATTATGCTATCCCTGACCGACCTTCGTGACTTCATTAAACCCTATGGGGTGCAGGAAGAGAAGTAGAAGGCAAGCAAATTTCCTTTGTAAGAGAGGCATATAAGACTTTTCTGCTCACATTCTATTGATGGGGACTTTAGGCATATGCCCATATCTAGCTGCAAGAGAAGTTGGATGTGTCTGTAGTTGCATGGCTCTGTACCTAGCTAAACTCTAGATGGTGATATGGACACCTATTATTAAAAGGAAGAAAAAAAGAATGTACAGTAGGGGGACAATAGCATTCTTTGCTACAGAAAATATGTGTTTGCATATTTTGTATATTATCTGCTTGATCTTTTTATATGATTTTTAGACTATGAATTACATCCTGAGCCAGCATTCTATAATCTTAATTTTTTCCCACCCTCATCAACTGTTAATTTAAATTTTCTGTATTAGAAAGTAGAAGGAAAATGAGGGCCATGGGCTCTAAAACATGTGAACCAGGGAGAAGAATAAAAACTTTTAGTAATGTTTGTCCTGGCTATTTATTAGAGAACTTTACAAATGAATTTTGATGATAATATTCATGAACATTTCTTAAGCAACCTGCTCTGTCCCAGGGACTATGGGTGTACTATGCTGTATACCAGGATGGCCAAACATTTCTATAAAGGGCCATAGAGTAAACATTTTTGGCTTTTCAGGCCATAGAGTCTCTGCTGCAGCGACTCAACTTTGCCACTGTATCATAAAAACAGGAAAAGACGATATATAAATGAATGAGCACAGCTCTGTTCCAATAAAGCTTTATTTATAAAAACAGGTTCTGGGCTATTTGGCCTGCAGGCCATAGTTTGTTGACCCCTGCTTTACAGAAAACAAGGAAGACACACTCTATTACTCTATTATTTTCTCTGAATACTTTTTTTTTTTTAAGATTTTATTTTTTAAAAGTAATCCCTACACCCACCGTGGGGCTTGAACTTACAACCCTGAGATCAAGAGTTGCATGCTCCACTGACTGAGCCAGCCAGGAGCCCCCTCTGTATACTTCTTTATGCAGTTGATAGTACCATTTCCCCAATCTCCAGGATAGAGATTCAAGATTACTTCTTATATTTTTATCTTGTCACATTGAATTATTGCGGAATCATGTTACTCTTTTTGTCCACCTTTTGATCCCTACCTCTCTCAGTCTGAGTTGAAGAACCATCACTCTTACTAACCTCTGCTCTGTTTTTAATTGTTCTGTCTTAACTTGGTTTGGCCACATCAGCCCTACTATAGCAAGCCTCTTTCCTGATATGACTAATTTTTTTTTTAAGATTTTATTTATTTATTTGACAGAGAGAGACACAGCGAGAGAGGGAACACAAACAGGGGGAGTGGGAGAGGGAGAAGCAGGCTTCCCGCGGAGCAGGGAGCCCGATGCGGGGCTCGATCCCAGGACCCTGGGACCATGACCTGAGCCGAAGGCAGACACTTAACGACTGAGCCACCCAGGTGCCCCCTGATATGACTAATTCTTTTCATGTATTTTAATGTATATATTGTATTGCTATAATAGAATCTGGTTATAATACTAACTTTTCAGCCAATTTTGACATGCATAGGGTCAAGTCATGTTACCTGTAGCCTTAACTAGTGCAGCTAATGTCTAATATAACTGCATTAGTCTTCTATTGCCCTGTAACAAATCACTGTAAACTCAGTGGCTTAAAACAATATAAACTGTTTATCCCACAGTTTCTGTGGATCAGGAAATCTGGGCATAGCTCAGTTGGATCATCTTGCTCTGATTTTCACAAGATGGCAGTCAAGGTGTCGGCTGGGGCTGCAGTCTCATCGGAGGCTTAGGGTCATCTTCCAAGCTCATTTGGGTTTTTGTGGCTAGTATTAATTTCTTTATAGCTATAAACTCATGATGGCTTGCTTTTTGGCAGGAGACTATCTCTGAGCTCAGAGAAGCTCTAAGCACTCTTTGAAGGGCTCAAATGGATAATCAGGCTCACTGAGAATAATCTCCCTTTGATTAACTCAAAAGTCAACAAATTAGAAACCTTAATTATTTTAATAAAAATTAAATTATGTATGCAAAATCCCTTTACCTTTCTCATCTAACATAACATAATCACAAGAGTAATAGCCTAATATATTCACAGGTCCTGTCCATACTTAAGGGGAAGGGATTACTTAGGGTGCATATACCAGGGGGCAAAAATCTTGGAAGCCATATTAGAATTCTGTCTAACACAATAACACAGACCGACTTATAAAGACCATGAGTTTACCTTTCAAAGTCTGTATATATATTATAAAATATATTGCAATTCATTCAAAATTCTCACATTGGAAATAGTAAAAATCTAAACAATGAAAGTATCAAAATTGTTGGCACCATTTTTTAAGGCTGTGACGTCAATCCTATAATAAAGTCTTTATTTTGGGGATGAAACTACCATTTAGATTAAAATTTCTTCTATTAGTGACCTAGTGGATTTTGAATAGTGTCAGCAGGAGGAGTAGACTTCAAATTAAATTCCATTTGAGCAAATAAAAAAGCACTTAATCATTTCAGCATTTTCCTCTTTATTTTTTTCATAAGTAAAGATTTTATTAGCTCAACTCAGTTCATTGAATTCTTCTTGAAATGTGCCATAAATCCATTCATATTTTAATACTGTTATGGTTGAATTCATATATTATCACAGAAAGTGACCCAGAATTTGAGAGTTCCTTCCCTTAACCCTGGATATAAGATACTTGGAAAAGAAGCTGTTGCTGAAAATAAAGGACTTTAAATAGATCAGTAAATGGAATGTCATTTCAAACTTAATATCAGGAAAAGCTTCTAAACGAAATGTTTTGTTGACTTTTGGAAGGGTCTTCTAAAAAAGTAAGATTGGCCATTTTAAAGTAGCTTGAGTAAAACATTAACAAATATCCTGTAGGACATATCCTGCTTTTTTGAAAAGTGTGCTGACATGATTCTTATTTTGCAGATATACGAACTGACTTGCTTTTTGAGGTGGAGAAAGGAGGGGAATTCTATTTTTATTAAAATTTTGGTTAATCATGAACTTCTAATCATGGTAATGATTTAAGTGATTGTAAAAAGATTAGGAAGCCTTAAATATTACTAAACAGGGATTGTTTATAGTCTCCTTTATTCCATTATGAAAAGAATGCTTATGGTTATAGAGGATTTTTATATAGTCCTATCTGTAAATTTTTACTACCCCCATCGTCAAAGCTACTCTGATACTGTCTTCAGTTAGGCAACTGATTTTCCTAGTGATCTGCTTTTGGCTCCTTTTCCACTATACATGAACTGTATAACATATATGAAGGTGGTACTGCCAAACCTCATCTCCTTAGGATCCTAAGTTTGGATTGTGATTTTTTTTTTCATTTTCAAATAATAGGGTACATTATTCAAACATATAGTAACAATTTAAGTGAGTTATTAGTATAGGTTAATGGATAGTACACTTCTTTTGAAAGGAAAAGACTAAAATACTAGTTTTATTGACTAATAGCTAGTAGTCTTCAGTGAAACAGTAAGCCTCTGAAATGCTTTATTTAAAAGAAGAGCTCCATCCTCTTTTTTTTCTGCACTGTTGTTGGCAATATAAGTTGGTGCAGCCACTCTGGAAAACAGTATGGAGGACCTCAAAAAACTAAAAATATAAGTACCATATGATCCAGTAATTCTATTTCTGGGTAGTCATCCAAAGAAAATGAAAACACTAATCCAAAAAGATGTATGCAACCCTATGTTTACTGCAGCATTATTTACAATAGCCAAGATATGGAAGCAACCCAAATGTCTACTGATAGATGAATGGATAAAGAAGATGTCGTGTATATATACAATAGAATATTATTTTGCTATAAAAAAGAATGAAATCTTGCCATTTGTGACAACATGGATGGACCTAGAGGGTATTACCCTAAGTGAAATAAGTCAGACAAAGACAAATACCATATGATTTCACTTATATGTGGAATCTAAAAAACAAAGTAAACAAACAAATAACAACAAAAAGAGAAACTGACTCATAAATACAGAGAACAAACAAGCGGTTGCCAAATGGGAGGAGAATGGGGGGAATGGGTGAAATAGGTAAAGGGGATTAAGAGGTACAAATTTAAAATAAGTAAGTCATGGGGATGAGAAGTATGGCATAGGGAATATAGTTAGTCATACTGTAATAACTTCATTTGGTGACAGATGGTAACTATACTTATTGTGGTAAGCATTTGATAATGCATATAATTGTTGAATCACTATCTTATACACCTGAAACTAATATGTCAACCAAATTTCAATTTAAAAATTTTAAAGAATCAAAACACCTGTGATCAAATAAGCATTAAGAAATGCTTCATACAGCAGTTTCTTTGTCCTGGAGATATACAGTGCATATGAGCATATTAAAACTTCTGAGAAGTCCAGTAGTAAAGATATCCAATGAACTGGTTTAACCAAGTATCTCCTATACCTCTTTCGACCACAGAATCTATTTTGACTATAATACTGCCTGGAATTAATAGTCCATAAAAAAGCCCTTTGTGGGGGAGGGCGGAAAGAGCCCTTTGGAAAATACTGCTTTAATCGAAATCACCCAGATTTCCCTTAAGTCCAGACTTACTAAGTTTTCTAAGCTATGTGAACTTCTAGAACTATACTCGCTTTGAGGGGTGCTTGGTGGCTCAGTCTGTTAAGTGATGGACTCTTGATTTCAGCTCAGGTCATGATCTCAGGATCGTGAGATTGAGCCCCGGGTCAGACTGTGTGCTGGGCGTGGAGCCTGTTTTAAGATTCTCTCTCTCGCTCTCCTTCTGCCCCTCCCACCCCTGCTCTCGCACTTGTGCACACTCTCTTTAAAAACAAAAACAAAACTTGCTTTGAGTCAAAAGACCAAGAAATTATATATTTTCACTTAAATGTTTTACCACTACTCAATTGTCTGGATGTCCAAGGATCTAAAAGTTCAGTCAGGAATGGTCTGCAATGCTTTATACTTTTAATTATAGTCAGTGTCTACAAACTTGGCTTTACTGTTTTTCTTTTCAAACTTTATTCATTAATTGCCTTTTATTTATTTTTTCAGGGGAACATTGTTTAATCTTTTGGTAATTTTAATTAGTGAACCTCAGATTCCAAAATCTTGTCCTATGTTTGATATCCAGTTGGTGGCCGACTCAACTTTAGTTGAGATGTCTTTTGATGCTGAGGTGAGATGAGAATTTGGGGGTAGACTAAATATAATATGTAGGGGTGCCCTGGCTTCCTGTCTTCTAATGTGGAGCATGACATTGTAGAATATAGAAATATAATTTAATCAGAGTAAATATTTTGCCATTAACCTCAAAACTTAGATAGCTCTTCTGTCAATATTAATGTATCCGTTTTATACATCTTAAAGTATGTATACTGGGGCGCCTGGGTGGCTCAGTCAGTTAAGCATCTGCCTTCGGCTCAGGTCATGATTTCAGGGTCCTGGGATCGAGCCCCACATCCGGCTCCCTGCTCAGTGGGGAGCCTGCTTCTCCCTCTCCCACTCCCCCTGCTTGTGCTCTCTCTCTCACTCTCTCTCTCTCTCTCAAATAAATAAAATCTTTTTCTTTTAAAGATTTTTTTTTTATTTGAGAGAGAGAGAGAGTGAGAGAGAGCACGAGAGGGAAGAGGGTCAGAGGGAGAAGCAGACTCCCTGCTGAGCAGGGAGCCCGATGTGGAACTTGATCCCGGGACTCCAGGATCATGACCTGAGCCGAAGGCAGTCGCTTAACCAACTGAGCCACCCAGGCGCCCCCAAATAAATAAAATCTTAAAAAAAAAAAGAAAAAAGAAAGTATGTATACTAAGAAAAGTAAAGTACATATACTAAGGAAAATAATTAGTATTCAATATGTATTCGATAAATCTGTTTGTCTCTATACAAAATATTTATGTATATCTAATTCCACAGTAGGGGCCTAAATAGTAAAAAAGCACTTTTTTTTTTTTTAAGATTTTACTTACTTGAGAGAGAGAGCGAGAGAGAGAGAGAGAGAGAGAGCACAAGCAGGAGGGAGGGAGGAAGAGAGGGAGAAGCAGGGAGCCTGATGCAGGGCTCAATTACAGGACCCTGGGATCATGACCTGAGCAGAAGGCAGATGCTTAACGACTGAGCCACCCAGGCGCCCAAAAGTGCAATCTTTAAAAGATTTTAGGGCTAACTCTCTTGCCTTAGTTTACCATCTCCTTATCTAAGTAGTGCAAACTCAGCAAGAATTACTTGTTTTTCTAAGGTTTTACTAAAACATTAGAAATATCAGACTACCTAGAAAGCACATATTCTGAGAGAATAAATCAGCTTATTAGTTTATTTTGAGCAGAACACAATTTTTTTTAAAGGATGGGATATGATTTGATAGTTCTTAAACATACAATTAGAGTATGTTTTAGAAAACTCTTAGATGTATTCAGTCACTCAATAAATATTTATTGAAACTCTATGATGAGCTAGACAGTGTGCTAGGCACTGGGGTCCCAACAAGAAGCAAAACAGACACCACCTCTGCCCTCACTGGTTTATAGTCTGGTTAGAGAGACAGACGTTAATTAAATACAACATGAATATAATATTCATCTGTATGAATATTATAGCCCTATTCATATATATGAATATTAGAGACTATGTGGAGTATCTATGATACAGTTTTCAACAGCGGAGTAAGTGCATTAGAGATTGGAGAGTGGGATGGAAGCGAGACTCAGGCGGGGCTAAGAAGCTAGTGCGGTTGTCCAGGTGAGGAATGACAGAGGCCAGAGTGAAGCGATCCTCAGCCCTCGAAACGAGACTTAGGCCCTCATTTTAGAGCTCTCCTTTTTTTTTTTTTTTTTTAAGATTTTATTTATTTGAGAGAGAGAATGAGAGATAGAGAGCACGAGAGGGAAGAGGGTCAGAGGGAGAAGCAGACTCCCCGCGGAGCAGGGAGCCCGATGTGGGACTCGATCCCGGGACTCCAGGATCATGACCTGAGCCGAAGGCAGTCGCTTAACCAGCTGAGCCACCCAGGCGCCCAAGAAGTTAAAAATTTAATCCCCAAATGGTCATTGCTTTGTTCTACCGCTCCAGGCTCTCCAACCTCAATCTGTGTTTGCCTGACACCATATTTAGTCAATATGTGTAAACAGATCTGAATTGGGGTGAAACCACTCCAAACCACCTGTCCTACTTAAGAAGGGCCAGTAGCAACATCAATAGAAAAGGCAACACATTTATTGATACTAATTTAATGGGCATGCAAAGGGACCTGATTAGAGCTTGAAAGGACACTAGAGTTCCCCTCTGTTTTTATAGTAGCCTACACTTATGCATAGTTGTTTGAAAATGTGCCCCTCTCAAAAACAAACAAACAAACAAATAAAAACTTGTGGAATCCATTGTTCTTGGTTTTTGTTATTTGGTTCTGTTTTTTTACACTCAGTGTGGGGGCTTGAACTCACGACCCCAAGATTAAGAGTCGCATGCTCTACCAACAGAACCAGCCTGATGCCCCTTGGTTCTGTTGTAAATGACTTTTTGTGTGTGTGAGAAGCAGCAACTCAATAACTTCACATTATTGCTACTATTTCCATTTTAATATCCCCCTCAGAAATGATAGCAGACATACTCTCGATGAAAACCCCAGCTAACCAGGAACATCAACATCACTTGCTTGTGTCAAGCCTGGTTTTCTTTGCTTTCTCACTTAGTGTTTCTTAAGGTGTTGTCTGAGGAACAAAGCCATCAGAATTGTTTATGGTAAATATCCTGAGGTGGGGCTCAGGATTACGCATGTGTATTGAGCTGCCTAGGTGATTTTTGTGCACACTAAATTTTGAGAACCAGCGCCTTGGAGGAACCCTCTTTGAAAGTCCCAGGAAGTTTATCTCTGTGGGCCATTTGTCCTTCACAGTACAAGAGAAGAGAAACCATCTTCTGTCCTGGAGGAGGCCATGGACCTTTCCAAGCTCCCCTTCTATCCAATGTTCTCCTTTTACATTGGAATCAAATTTCCTTGACAGTATTCATTCTGATTTTGCTTAGAGGGGGGCAAATGGTAAACCCAATTGGTCTATGGTCTGGTGCTCTCTGAGTACCATTTCAGTGAGAAACAGTGCAAGAATATTGGTATAGGGGTGGTGAGGACTTCAGCCTAGCTTTAGAGGTGAGGCCCCAGCTGAAACAGGTGCCTTATGGGTGGCATGCGGCCTACATGCAACTGCTTTTTTCTGGTTTAGATCACTTTCGTGGCCAGTATTGTGAAACAAATGGTAAAGGGGCTTTCAGCTTCATTTCAGTTGCTAAGTCCCAGCCAAGCAGTTCTGTTGTATCAGCAATTTTAAATCCTCAAGAGCTACCTGCAGTACAGCAAGACTTTAGCTGAGTATATTAGGAATGACTACAGAGAAGAATTCAGGTAAGAAAAGTCTGAATCTAATCTGCAGTAAAATCCACTCATTTCTGATTTTCAGGCAGAACTGCAACATGGCCCAATATGTAGAAGATGAAATGAAGATGGGCAATTTTGGTTTTGTTTTCAATAGTATCTCACACTTGGATCTGTGGTAAGGTAGGGTTTAGGGGAGCTCTAAGAACCACGGTGTATTCCCAGGCTAGAAAAGACTAATGAAACCTCAAACTCTCTTTGAAGAACTGTTTCTCACTCATTGTCTTTGTCGCAGCCAGCACCTCACAGAAGTAGTAATGATTTTAACATGCTGTGAGGAATCAAGAGTAACAAACCCTACTGAAGGGTATGATGAATTAGGGACTGTGAGTTTGAAGCATTGGGGGGTAAAAAACAATTGATAAAGGAGAAACAGTTAATGAGTGTGGTTATTATTTTTTGTTTGTTTCCTTTCCCCTCTCTTCCTCAGGAACAAAACAGTAAGGAAGAGCAGTAACAAGCACGGGTTCATCAGCCAGCTTGTTCTGCACCTCAGGGGTTCCTCCTTCTATTTACAGGCTGGCAGCCACTCAGCTCTGCATTAGCGCCTATCAAGGAAAAACCCAGCCTGCGTCTGACTTACGATGAAAAGGGTGCGGCAGGCATAGCTTTGCTCCCAGTTTGGGTGCAGACATAAAAGGATGTGGAGGCATACATTATGGCCCTAGATTGGCTTTTTAAAACATTTCAGCCCAATTTGTGGACCCCGTTTTTCCTCCATGTGGTTTTACATCATAGGTTCCACTCTGGCTCCTATAAAAGGGTTTTGTTTGGCCTGCTGGGAATTGGTCCACACAACCTAATTTTTTTTCCTCGTTTTTTTTTTTTTAAGGTAAAATGTATATACATTGAAACTCACTATTTAAACTGTGCTTTTAATACATTTCATAATGTTGTGCAACCATCACCACTGTCTAATAGCAGAACATTTTCATCACCCCTAAAGAAAGCTGGTACCCAGTAAGCAATCACATGCCATGCTCCCCTCCCCCCCCCCCACCCCCTGCCACCACTAATCCACTTTCTCTCTTTGTGGATTTGCATATTCTGGACATTTCACATAAATGGAATCATGATATATGGCCTACTGTGTCTAGCTTCTTTCACTTAGCATCACGCCTTCAAGGTGCATCCATGTTGTGGCATGTATCACACAATGCAATTTTTTTTTTAAGATTTTATTTATTTATTTGACAGAGAGAGACACAGCGAGAGAGGGAACACAAGCAGGGGGAGTGAGAGAGGGAGAAGCAGGCTTCCCGCCGAGCAGGAAGACCGACATGGGGCTCGATCCCAGGACCCTGGAATCATGACCTGAGCCGAAGGCAGACGCTTAATGACTGAGCCACCAAGGCGCCCCAACCCTTTTATTTCAATTTCCTGTGTACTGCCCAAGGAAACAAGAAGCAGGAGCCTCAGCCCACACTGCGGTGAGGACAGTCCTGACTTCCCTACTAATGCCTTCATAATGGATATATTATTAATGAAATTCACTTCCTTTGCTGTAGTAAAGTGTCTCAATGAGCTGAAAGGCACACGTCAGAGATCTTCTAGGTCACCCAACAGGGGAGATCAGATGACTGAAAATGCTGGCCGAATGTTATGGCTTAGACCCCCATACCGAACAGCCCTACGCCAGTGAGTGTATACGTACTGATGTGACCAATGTGAAATTCTTATTTTTAAAGATATTTTGTTTCTTTTTATGATTTGCAGGTACTTTATTCACATGCCAGCCTTGGAAAAAAGGCTCCCATTGTGGTACCCTCCTACCCAACCTACCATTCAACTTTTTCATGAAGTTCCCAAGTTAGTTGAACAGAAACAATGTGTGAAATATTAACAAGAATCTAAAATATTAACCAGGAGTCAACCTAATATTTATGAGAAAACTTGTTTGATTTGTTTAATATCTGGCTATCCCTGTGTCTTATAAACAGATTTTATTTGAATGTTCTAACAATACCTGTAAGAGAAGTCCTTAGAGTTTTTTATCTGCCACAAAAAAGAAACGGTTTAAATACACGGACATATGCAAAGTGGTGCTAAAAACAAGCGTTTCTCTAAAAAAGTTTCCAAAAATAAAATACTACAAAGATTACAGAAGCCCATGGAGAGCAAATGTAGAAAGTGCAACCTGATGAGTTTTGTTGGTGTAATAACGGTGAGCGGTATAAAGCCACTGAAATGTCCAAAGATAAACTGTGGTTTACAAAGTGATCATTAGAGAAATGCTGAGTAATAGGTAGAACACCCTCCTTCTCCACCTGTAAAAATTCTAGTGAAATAAGTATTCATGACAGAATGAACAGAAGAACAGAGGCAGAGCTATACTGAAGGTCAGGTCCTCATTTATTATGGGGAGGGAAGCTTGGACTTTCTTCAACACAATTAAATGCATTCTCGTGCTCAGTTTCAGGCACCTGTGGGCTAGTGCAAGCAGTCTCAGAGAGTCTCTGTGGAGGAGAATCATCTATAAGCAGTTATGACTCTCCCAACCACTGAAAAAAATGTCTTCGCTATATCTTATGGCAATAAACTAATCCAACGAAAACTTCACTTTGGTGTCACTGTGAGATATTGAATTTGGGCTTCTAAGAACTTAGAAAGTGGGTCCTCTATTTGACTTACCATGCCTTGAAAGAGGATCAGAGAAAACCCCAAAGAAAGAGCTCCCAAACCAGATGTGCCCATGCTGTGCACTGGCGAGAGGATTAAACTCACTCATGACATCTGATTACTGGTTGCGGCTGAGCCGTTAACCAGCTATTTGACCTCCAACAAATAGTCTATTCTGCTATGGGGAGGGGTGGGACGAGATGTTCTGCAAGCTCTTGTCCAGCTCTAACATTCCCACTTCTTAACGCTCTGTGATGGGGTAGTGCATTCCTCTGCTCTCCCGGCTCAGTGGATGATTTCACATGGATTCCAAATAATCCTGCTTTCTTTGGACCAAACATTTCCCTTTCAGCTGTCACCAACATCACCCCACAAAGCGTCCAAGCCCCCTCCACTATTACCCATCAAGGACTACAAGTCCTCTAGTTCCCACTCTGGGGGCAGTGATGGGGGGAGTAGAATGGCATTTATGAGTGTTCTGGACTGTTAGATGAGGGACTGCTCCCAGGAGACAGCCAATCAGAAGCATATGAAAAGATCCTGGGACAAAGGCAACAAGACTTCAGACTGGACTAATGAAGGACAGTGGGCTGACCACTGGTGAATGGTGGAACCCACCGAATGACAAAAGAGGATGAACTCCGCTCTGCCTCAGCTTCTAAACGGTGCCCTGGCTCTGGGCCAGAAGCAGCACCGACTGCAGAGAGGGTTTGGGCTTCCCTCCCACGTGCCTGAGGCGCTTGATGCCTCTCCTCTCCCACTGTTCTCTTTTCTCTGAGAGCATACTTTATCAAAGCTGTGGGAGCAAACGCTCCGTCAGAAGGCATCTGCATCTTTCCACGTAGGGCTACCTGAGTGGCATTCTTGAAAGCTAATGGTTGAATATTTGTCAACTTGATTTTCTTACAGCATTTGTCTATTTGTTTGCACAGTGTGGGAGGGGAGCCCCAAAATCAACACTTTAAAGGTGTTGCTACAGTTCTTTCCTACTGTTTTTTGCATTGTTGCCAAAGCCAAGAAAATCACTAAATAATCCATCTTTCTTAGTGATCAGAACACATTTGATTGACTAAATATTGACTTCCACTACAAAGTAATTACTTTTAGGAAATCTAATTGTAGAAAAATTTTGAATATGAAAATCACATATATAACTTTCCACAAATACAAAGGATCATCAAAAAAGCAAGCACACATAGCTAGTTTTCAGGCTGGGCCGAAGATTCTGGACTCTTTGACCACTTTTATAATATATAAGCATTGCCATTTGCCACCCGCACTAAAAGTAAACTCAACGTAATCAGCTCTACCATTTTATATAATCACATATATGTGCATGTATGTGTACACACATATCCAAAAGAGTGGGTAAGAGCATGGGTTTTGAGTTTAAATGAGTTGAAATCCAGTTTAAATGGTTGAGTTTATTTTTTTTTAAGATTTTATTTATTTATTAGAGAGAGAGAGCAGGCGCACAAGCAGGGGGAGCGGCAGAGGGAGAGGGAGAAAGAAACTCCCCACTGAGCGGGGAGCCCGAACCAGGACTCGATCCCATGACCGAGATCATGACCTGAGCCAAAGGCAGCCACCTAACCAACAGAGTGCCCCTAAATGGCTGAGTTTAAATCTCAGCTCTGCACTAGTTTTGGACATTGGGAAATTACTTAATATCTCTATGCTTCAGTCAAAACAAAGATAGTACAACCTATCCCATGAGGTTGTTAGGAGCTTTTATGCAAAGATGGTGTTAATACACATAGCATGGTATGTGGCATGTAGTAAGGATCCAGTACATGGTATTTATTATTATTATTACTATTAAAATAATATCAAAGCTGGCTAAGAACTTACAGATTAATAAGTACTGGCCTTTAAAACTAACTAACTAACTAACTAACTAAATAAATGTACTGGCTTTTTTTTTTTGGACCAGTTGGGGGACTAGCTACTATACTCAGAGAGCCCCTGATCAATATAGCATTGAAGAACAGATTCATTTGGTTATTAAATTTAAAAATTCAATTTTCTGTTAGCAGGAGTGTGACTTAATTCCCAAGTGACCATTTCTATTGCTTACCGCCGTGAAGGACTATTGGACCTAACTGATATTATCAATGCCAGAGCTGTGTGGAAAATATTCTTCCAAGGGTAGACAGAAAGCGTTTTAATCATGTAAACGTTTTTTAGCCTTTGACTTAAACAGCACGAAGAGGGGGAGGGGCAGAAGGAGAGAGCATCTCAAGCAGACTCCCTGCTGAGCGCACAGCCCAACTTGGGGCTCTTTCTCACAACCCTGAAATAATCACTGGAGCTGAAACCACAACCCTGAGATAATGACCTGAGCCGAAATCAAGAGGTGGACACTCAGCTGACTGAGCCACCCAGGCGCCCTTGATGGAAATTTTTGAGCAACTTTTAATAGTGCTAACTATCTGATTTCTTTTTGTTCATTGTGTTTACTTCTAAAATGCAATGCCGGCTTGTAAGGTCTAATTGAATTTGGGTCTCTGTAGGAGGGAGACAGTCAGAAATTCTCCATCCAGTCAGACCAAGCACTCCTGTATCTGCCTATCTGTGTATTTGGGGTCTGAAGCTTTTCTCATTTGCAAGGTAGCACAACTTCTTGGCTAGAAATCTCAGTAATGTAACTTTGGCTTAGAGTCCAGATTCGATGTCAGAAAGACCTTGTTTGGATTCCTTCCTGCCTAATTCCTCATCAGACTTTTAGCAGGTTATTTAACCTCTTCCACAACTTCCACTTGTAAGAAAAAATCTACCTTAAGGGTTTTTGTTAATAGTCCTTCATATATATATATAAACAAATAATTCTATGGCTACTATGTACTGGGACAAACTGTATGGCATTGTCAATATCCACAATTACATATGGTTCAAACAAATAAAAACCCCTCAATAAATTATAGCTATTATCCTAAAAGACACACTAACTTGCTTGATGAACTCATTCTTTAAATACTAATCGTCTATTCTAATTTCCCAGATGGTGTGGCATTTTGTTATAACCTGGCTTATTCTTGCACAGTTTGAGTAAACCTTACACTATCTAGTTTAATAACAAATTATTGAGTGGGCATAACATACTTAAACATGTTCAAATGGAATTTTATATTTTCTTCCTTGCCTCTCCCCAAAATAAAAATCTGTTCTTCCCCCAATCTTCTCCGGGAATGGTACTTCATTCATCCCACCGTTCAAAAGAGAAACTTGACAAATCTCTGGGTTTTCTCCTTTCTTTTCATTCTCCAAATGCAACTGACAAAACTGTAAGCTATTTACAAGTGTACCATGTGATGACTGCATCTGCCTAGACATTGTGAAAGGATTTCCTCCCATCCATCTATTAACTATGTATTCTCCTGTTGGGTTTTCTTGGTGAGAACATTTAAGTTCCACTTTCCTAGCAAGTTTCAATTATATAACATGGTATTATCAACCAGAATCACCATGTTATACATGAGATTCTCAAACCTGCATCTTACAACTAAAAGTCTGTACCCTTGAAAGTTGGGAGAGGTAGCAACCTCTCCCTGTTTCCCCTGCGCCCTAGCCCCAGGCCATCACTTTCTACTCTGTTTCTATGAACTCAACTTCTTTTGTTTTGTTTTGTTTTTAAATAAAGGGTTGTTTTAAGCCTCTAAGATTTAGATTGGTTTATTTTTTTTAATTTATTTTTTCACACCCAAAGTATTTTATTGTTGTTGTCCTCTACAGAAACATTATTTTCAAATAGTATACATGATGCAGAGAAAAATTTAAATACAAATATTTAGGTAGTAAAAGGAACCCTACCCATTCTCACCAATCTTCAGTTGTTATTAATCACTAAATTAATCTAATTAATCAATCTAATCTAATCACTAAGTTCAACAGAAAAATAATGAAGCTCACCTTCACGGGAAAGACCCCATTTATCTTTCCAATGTTTCCTGTTTTCTCTTCCTTTCCTTACCTACAAGAAAAAAAAATTCATATCACAGTGGGATGCTGCTGGTGTCTATCAAAAACCCTTGACAGCAGTTTGTCTCCTGGCCAGCTCCGAAGCCTCTCCCACTCTCCCTGGAGTGGTTTATTAAATAGCAATAGATAAACAAAACAATCAAGAACATTTCCATTTATTTTAAACGTCAATGTTAGGGTAATTCCAAATTCAGTCATTCGCCAGTTAGGTACTCTAGCCAAAGCATTTCACTTGTCTGTATGTTC